ATAATAGGGTATTTTGCCCATAATAAATCCTTCCATATTGTCTTTAACCCTGAGGAAAATTACTAGTATACATTGTGAAATCTTAGTCTCCAAAGGGCCACTGTGTTAGTCAAGAAATATAGCAAGGCCTTCCACTATTAAGTTGGGCTGTCCTGAGCTCATCTGAGTGAACTGCTTGAACACAACCAATCAGACTGGTGGAAAATGACTTTATTAGTCAGTCTTGGGACAGCAAGTACAACTCAGCTGATATAACATTTGATTTTTGAAGTACAGCCATGCAGAAAGTCACTCTGGAGGAACTTCTATAATAGCTACAGCCCATTACTTGATCAAGGTGTCAAGATTTTATTAAAAGCAGTTTTAGCATTTTATAAACTTATGGGTAACTTCATAGATTCCAACAGACTCCTTTATTTTTTCATCATAGTCATTCCAGTCCTGTAGGAATTCAAATTTTACAGCATTAATACAAAACAGAATGGGGTAGTATTTAAAATCACAAATTGGAATATCAATTAACCTTATCAGCATTCCAAATTTCAGTTCCGCACTTTCTGCAGAAAGTGTTTATGCCCTTAACCTGTCCAGTTCTATGTCCAACAGAGGTGAACACCGAACAAATTAAATTAGCGTCAAGCTTCTTAGTAGTTTTAGCTTAAGGAATCAGATTTTCTGTGTCTGAAGACTGTAGCCAGTAACAGACAAGCCAGCAACCATGGGGAGTGAAAGGATTATTTACAGTACCTATTCTGGTGAGTCAGACAAGCCAATCTTCCTGTCATGTGGAATACCAAAGAGAGGAACTGAGCTTGAGAGATTTGCTCATGGCCAATGAAGATCTGGAGCATTTATGGGCTTGTCTACCTAGAGACATTGTGTTTGACACAGCAATAGGTCAAAATGCACTGTGGAATTTTTAGTGTGCAGCAGCAGGATGTGCATGCCTGACTAGTGTCTGTAGTTCACACCCAGCCTGCTGTGCCCTAAGTCTCTGTGCACACAGGCCCAAAGAGTCTTACGCTGAGCTTTAAAGGAGACTGCACGTCACTATTCAACACCTGGACGAGTTCTCAGGAGTTGCCGCAATAGTTTCAGAGCGAAAGAAAACCAGTGCCCCCATAATAAAAATCTCCCAGTTGATCAAGAGTCCATGATTGGGGGGTCCCCCACATTTTTTCAAGAGCAAGCTGCAATTATACCACGACTATTCAAAATACTGAAGATGTCCACGCTTAGACACTTCCAAATAAGCACCCTGAGGTGCACACTAATGCGGAGCACTCATGCTTGAAGGTTGTTTCCTCCTCCACTTAAGATTTGTGCACGCACACCCCTCGAAAGCACAGAAAGCCATACTTTAAATGGGAGTTTGTTATTTCTGGGGCTAGGGAAACTGAGGAAAAATAAGTTGTACCTTTTCCAGCAAGTTTATTTCACTAAAAGGTGTGCCAGACTCTGCACCTTCAGCAGCAAACCCAGCCTACAAAATAAGAATTAAAATAACTTAGGTATGAGTTGTAATAAGTTAAATATGTTTAAAATAGTTCAACAAACCAGGTTATCCCGTACAAGTATTTATTTTAGTGGAGCTAGCTGTCTTACAAGTGGGTATAAAGAGTGGCCAAACTATTATGTGACCTATGGTTTCAATATAGGGTATGACCCTCTGTTTAATAATCAAGGAGAGTTTAAGCCTGACTGTTCATGCCCAAGTTTTATTTTTACATATGTTCGATTCCAAAAGGATAAAATGGCTGTAGTGTGGTTGTATCTACTAGCTATAGGAACATTACTAAAACTATACAAGCAATATTGTAAAGCAAGGAAACATCAGTTTTCCAGAACACACCTGTTTTTCCTGCAAATTATTTTTTCTAACTTGTTTTTTCCCAAAAAAACTCTCTATAGCTTCACAGGTTTCTAAGTGTATCCAGTATGTCTGTTAGCAGTGAATGCATTAGATTAAAATTGTCACCAAGATATTTCAAGGCATTTTAGAAACAGTGTACTCCAGTTTAATAGCAAGATAACAATGGAAAGCAAGAGAGGAAAAAAGACAAGTCTTCAGTTTTGGTTTAAACAGCATGAGAACCCAGACATCTCTGGCAAAAGGGGCCAAGTGTTTGTAACTGTCATCACCCCGTGTAGTTCATTTAGGTATGGAGGAGTCAAGCAAACTACCACGAGGAGGAGAATCAGCTAGATTTTAACTGTAACCAGATTACTCCATCCAAGCAGCACAATTTCAGAGTGAGATCTGCACTGTTTTGTCTGCATAACCTACCCTTTCTAGCAGAAACTGACCTGAGATAACGACACTTAAGTCTCCACAGGTGAATGGATGAGTGTGCCACTGCTCAGGCAGTCTCGCCACTCCTCCTCCCCAAACAATGACACTAAAGGAAATTACTAGGGAATAAAGAGATCAACCAAGGTGGTGCAGTTCTGGGATCCAGCACATAAAGCAATGGATGCATTTCCAAAGAAGGTACAGAACATGCTCACATTTTAGGGTTCACACTTGGGGTTAAAAAAAATTGGTATTTAAATTACAGATTAATGTTTTGTTGGTCAACAAAATTCCTCAAGAATTTAAGAACAATGACAGAAATTAAAGGATGGTCAATGTAAGAAGCCTTCCTGTGAGCTACTTGGATTCTTTTTATTTTTAACCAAGTAAACAAACAACTGGCTATGGTATAAGGAAAATTCTTTCCTGGTTTTGCAAACAAACGCATATGGAACTTGCTTTTGGATTCCTTGTAGACATAAATCCCCACTAGCTACTATGAGAAGATTGAATGTACAAGGAATGTGCTCTCTGGCCATAAATTTTAAAGTGTTTTGGGATCTGCGAAAACTAAGAATTTAGTCATACACATCCCACAATGCGTGACAAATGTCAATGGGAGTGCAGCCTTTACATGAGCAGAATCACAAGCCCATGGGGGAGGGGGGCGCGGAGGCAGGCGGGGGGAAGAAAGCAGTACAAAGAGAAGATGCATCTCCATCGGCCACACTACAGAACTGCAACAGAGCAAAGAATGAAAGTGGAAGGGATGCAGAGCCAACATCACCCAGTACACATTTAACAGAGATCCATGGAACATTAAACCATGTGACAGGCTGTTGTAATTCCAGCAGAACTTACTCCTGGGGGAATTCATGCGCCCCACAGATTTCTTTGCTTCCCTGCATAAAAATGACTTTCTGACAGGGAAGCAAGGGAAGCTGCAAGAGCAGTCATGCACCACTCCCTTTCAGTGCACATACATAGTTTAAGGCACCTGGAGCCGGCAGAGAGATAAATCACCCCAGGGCTGTGGACACCCCAGCCATGCTAGTCCCGGCTGTGCTGGAGGCAGGAGAGGACAGGACTACTTCTTCCCCTGCACGCAGTGCCTGGGACTGTATCAGACCCTCCCCCAGCTGCAGGAAGCTCAGAATCCTCCCCTGCTTCCTGGCCCCATCGCTCCTCAGCTGTGGGGGGAAGAGATTACTATACAGGGAGCTGCTCCCCCATCTACCTAACCCCTGTGTCTCCCATACCCAGACACCCCTGCCAAGCCTCACCTAGTACATCCAGAACCCCCCTAGCCCTCCATACCCAAACCCCACCCCACTGAACCTCAACCCCTGCCTCTGGAGCCCCCCTGCACCCAGACCCCCTTCCTCTGGACCCCCAGCCCTGTACCCAGACCACCCCCCACTGAACTCCCTGCACTCAAACCCCCATCCTGAAGAGCCCCAGCACCCCAAACCTCCACATCCAGACCCCTATGCCACTGACTTCCAACTAGCTGCACGCAGGCCCCCACGCCACCAAGCCTCACTCCCCAGCACCCAGACCCTCCGCTGAGCCCCAACCCTCTTCACCTGGAAGCCCCTGCAGAGTCCCATTACCCCTGTACCTGGAAACCCCCCCCCCCCCAAACCTCTGTGCATCCAGGCTCCTCCACATCTAGGACCCCCCCCCCAAAGCTGCCTGCACCCAGATTGTCCCACACAGAATCCTCTCACCCCACACCACCATCCCTCCACACTTGGCTCCTGCCTGGTTGAGCCTGCCTGCCCCAGCGCAGGGCCCCAGGGTGTTTCTGGGGCAGGCCCATGCCTTGTGCTGTGTTAGGGTCAGATGCAGCATCACCACGGAGTCCGTGTCCTGGGAGTGGGGGAGCTGCAGGGTGATCTCTCACCTTCGTGCAGCCAGTGGCTTGTGCTCCCCCCTGCCACGCTGGAGCCTCTGCATTTATTTATTGACAAATATAACTTGCAGAATTTTAAAATATTGTGTACAGAATTTTTAATGTTTTGGCACAGAATACCCACAGGATGCCTTACAGTTTGTGGCATCACAGTTGATACTCTAATTTAATCTCTGCTAAACGGCGCTGAGTAATTAAGTGACTTGTCTGCCCTCTGCTGACTGGCTAAGGAGCAACAGTAGCTGAAGCTTAGAACACACCTTACAAACAAAACAGGAATTCTTATCACCCAACTTTTCAACATAGTGAATCATGCAGTTATTCTGCTTACCACTATAAAGTGTCATTTCTGTCACAAAGCAAGGGAGCTACAGTTGGATGAAAAGAAACTTTGTAAAGATGCATCTATTTTTCATCTGGAGGATAATACTTCTGCAGGGGGGGTGACCATACAGAACTAATACAGGTAAAGAGGCATATATTGGCATTTTTGATAGACACATCAGCTCAGGAACCTTAAATGAAAAGCATAATTGTAAGTTAAAACTAAGAGACTTCTTACCAAGTAAGAAATGTACAAGCATCTTAATTAGATTTTTCCCCACTTGGTAAAACAAAACAAAACAAAACAAAAACAATACATCCCTGGGATTTTCCAAGGGGAAAGATTTTCTTTTTGTCATGGAGGGACCTAAAGGGTATTTTCCCCTTTAAGACTGTAGTGAGAATTCTGGTGACTGTATGGGGAGACAGACAAATATCAATGGAAATAACAATCCTCATTAACTTCAGTAAGTTTTAATTATATTTATTAAAAATAATTTTACATTTTTATGACCTATTCTATTGCATTGCTGTTTATAACAGAACTCAGACTTGAATTTTCCCCTCCCACATATTAGAAAATGACCCAGAACAATAATAAATTTAGTACAATGTCACTGCAGGAAGGATAAAGCACAGGTTTTCATTAGTCAGTCTACGCAATTTACTCCTAATCCTACTGGAATAATATGTTATATATAGCAGGGAGTTAGCTTATGTAGACCATGACCAGACACAAGCAAACCAATAGCTGACAGCAGGAGGAGAACTGTAGATTCCAAGGCCTGAAGGGACCATTATGATCATCTACTTTGACCTGTATAATACAAACTATCACACTTCCCCAAAATAATTCCTAGAGCATATATTTTAGAAAACAATACAATCATTATTTTAAAATGATCAGTGATGGAAAAATCTACCACAACCCTTCGTAAATTGTTCCAACAGTTAATTACCATCACTTAAAAATGTATGCTTTGTTTCCACTCTGAATTTATCTAGCTTCAACTTCCAAGCCTTTGGACTATGTTATACTTTTCTCTGCTAGATTGAAGAGCCAATTATCAAATATTTATTCCCCACGTAGGTAGTTATAGATCAAGTCACCCCTCAAAGTGAAGGTTAAGCTAAACAGATTGAACTCTTGGAGTCTAATTAAAAAGGCATGTTTCCCAATCCTTTATTCATTCCTGTGACTTTTCTGAACCCTCTCCAATTTATCAACATCCTTCCTGAACTGTGGACACAGTATTCCAGCAGTGCTTGCATCAGTGCCAAAAATAGTAAAATAACCTCTCTACATCTACTTGAGATTCCTCTTTTGTGCATTCAAAGAGCACATTAGGCCTTTTGACCACAGCTGATCCCCAAATCTTTTTCAGAATCACTGCTTCCCAAGATAGAGACCCCATCCTGCAAATATGGCCTACATTCTTTGTTCTTAGGCATATAACATTTAAACCATATTAAAATGCATATTGTTTGCTTGTGCCCAGTTTACCAAGTGATCCTGATCAATCTGTATCAGTGACCTGTCTTTTTCATTATTTACACCATTTTTGGGTCATCTGCAAACTTTATCAGTGATGATTTTGTTTTCTCCTAGGTCACTGAAAATTGTTAAATAGCACAGGGCCAAGAACCAATCCCTATGGTACCCACTAGAAACACCTGCTCAATCATGATTCCCCATTTACAATTACACTGTGAGACCTATCTGTTATTAAATTGATTAAAACTAACTATGTGCCATGTTAATTTTCTGTTCTAGTTCTCAAAATGTTGTGGGGTACCAAGTCAAACACCTTACAGGAGTCTGTCCAAGTATATTGCATCAACACTAGTACCATTATGAACCAAACTTGTAATCTCATTATAAAAAACAAGATATCAAGTTAGTTTGACAGAATCTATTTTCCATAAACTCAAATCGCCATTTGTTATATTACCCTCCTTTAATTCTTTATTAATAGAGTCCTGTATCAGCTGCTCCATTAGCTTATCCGGGAACCATATCAGATTGACAGGCCTACAATTATTCAGATCATTCTATTTAACCTTTTAAAATATCGGTACAACATTAAGCTTTCTTCCAGTCTTCTGCATCTTGCCCAGTTTTCCAAGACTTATTGAAAAAATCAACATTAACCATCCCACAAGCACGTCAGCCAGCTCTTTTAAAACTCTTGGAGTCACATTATCTGGACCTGCTGTTTTAAAAAGTCTAACTTTAGTAGCTGTTATTTCACATCTTCCTGAGATACTAGTGGAATGGAAAGAGTTATCATCATCATATATTATATCTGTTTCCCCCCATACAGAATAGAAATATTTATTGAACACTTGTGTATTTTTTGCATTATTACTGATAATTCTACCATTTCCATCTAGTAAGGGACCAATGTCATGGTTAGTATTCTTTTTGTCCCTAATATACCTAAACTCCTTATTGTCCTTCAGTCTCCTAGCTACAATTTTCTCCTTGTGTCACTCTGCATCCCTTATCAATTGTCAACAATTCCTAGTTTGATTTATATTAGTTACTATCAACTTCCCCTTTCTTCCATTTGTTAAATATTTTTTCCTGTGGTTGCCTTTACTTCCCTTCTAAACCAGGTCAGTTTTTAAGCAGTCGTTGTGTGGAACTCCTTCCAGTCCACTGCTCTGTGGTGCCACAGCCTGCCCATCCTCATCTGTCTCCAGCCATGTAGAATGGCCACCTTGCCTCTGATGAGCTGCCAAGCCTCTTTTCAAACTTCTTTCTCCAATTTCTTGGTGGTCAGCTTCTTTCTCCCTTGAACCTGGGGTACTCATATTTCCCAAATCTCTCTGTCTAGGAATTCATCAGCTTCTTTGATTCTCAGTAGCAGCTCCACTTGCCCTTCCAGTTCAAGAATCTTTTCTTCCAGTATAGCCATCAACTTGCACTTCGTGCACAGTAAGTCCCTTCTGGCTTCAGGCAGGAAAGAAAACATGGTATATCTGTTGCAGGTCACCACCACTGTTACATCACTGGCTGTCTTGAAATTGCACATAGAGCTGATCCTGGAAGGAAAGCTCTCCTCCCTCCCCCCCCCACACAGCTCCCTCTGAAACTTTTCTGTTAGTTGCCTTAGTCTGTCGCTCTCAACATTGCTAGCAAGTGACTCGAAATCTCTCTGCTTAGCTCAGCTCGGCCCCTCCCCATCAGGGAGCAATTAACCAATTCAGACTTCAAGCAACTGGGCTGATCAACGTTCCAAGGGTCAGAACCACTCCACCTCACCAAGACACCAAACAGACCTGTTCCAGCTACTTACTAAGGGGCCCAGGGCCCAGCTACACAGCCTGTACACAGAGAACAAACAGCCAGACAAACCCACAGATGGACCAAACACACCAGTCACCAAGTCTCACTACCGCCAAGCAAAATCCATAGCTATCCCTTCTGAAACTCTCTTACCTGTCTCGGTTTACAGCTCAGAGAGACCCTTTAACTCAGTATTTTCAGCTGTGTTTTGCAAAAGAGACTACTGATGCCTTCAGCAAGTCTTGCTCTGCCTTTCAGTCTCATTTTGTTGTGGATACACGTCTATGTTTGTAGAGATGGATGAACTTCAGAGTTTGGTTGAGCACAGCAGTCAAATACTGAACAGTGTCCAAAAATCAGGCTTGTTAACTCTCTATACCCTGTACAGTAGCCCACCCAGACCTCTTCTTCCCACCAGTGACCCCTAATTAGGCAATCCAAGATGTGACTGCTTTAGGACCCCTCTCCTCCTCCTATTGCCCTACTCTAAAGATCCACCAAATGAATTCACATCTTCAGTGCTCTTACACTGAAGGTGGACTTACAAGGCACTTCAGGGGGCACAGCTCCAAAGAGTGAGTAAATTTAATTAGGTGAGTAGGATGAGGTAAGAAAGACAACTGCAGAGAGGGGAGACTATTGGAGAGTCACAGATTGTTCCAAAATGAGCAGTGCAATTCTCAAAAGAGAGGGTGCTGCATCAATCTAGAGTTCAGCAGAAAAAGACATCTAAGAGCTGTCAAATAAATTAATAAGAACTTGCCTGTGGTTGAAAGTCAACTGGCTCAAGACCTCGGCACTCAAACTCCACTACTGTCTTAAACTTCTCACTGTCTTCAGCCTAGGATTGAGTCAGAATAGCATTTAGTTTTTACCTAATGAAAGGGAAATAACACCTTTTAGTCTAGGCATAAAATGCAGTAAAATTTTTAGAAGCAGCATGACCAAACTCTGGACCAAAAACTTTGAATTATTTGACATGGTTAATAACTAACCAGAATTTCTTTAACTTAGAGACTGGTCTGGGGAAGTCTCTGAGCCCTTCAAAGGTAGGCTCTCCGAGACCAGGGTAAAACTAGTACATATTCGCTTAGAATGTGACATCAGTGCCTGATGTTGACTGTGAAATATTTAAACAGATGATTTGATATTTGAGTGAAGCAGAAGGGGCAAAGCAAGTTATTAATTGGCTCTCGTTGTCCACATTATTTAAAATATACTTTCCCAAATGCACAGCTTCACTTTTGTAGCATCCAGCATCCCATTTGCGGTGTTTCTCTATCAGGCGATACCTGGATATTTTTTCCCCTGTACTTCTGGGAGGAACATGATAGCAAAAATTGGGAAGCCTTGTAATAAATTAACATCACATTACTAATGCTTATTTCACTTACATTTGCAATATCATAGAGAAAATAAACTTACATTATAAGGCTTGATTGTATCTCTTAAGATATCTAAAAGAGAAGGGGGTAGAATAAAAAAAACCTGCAAATTTTCCAGCCCTTAATTCAAACCCAAGAGCCCTCCCTCTAAACACTGTTTATTCAAAAAAAGGCCAACATTTCTGGGGACTCCATCAAAATCTAAGACCCTGTTTTTGCCATGGCTACCAAGAATTTCATCTCCTGTTTTGCTATTTTGTTTTCCTCTTAAGGAAGAAAAAGCAATGCATACTCTTGTGACATGGCTTTAAGGCTCCAACCATACAACAGTTGCTCATACAGCTCTTCCAAAGTCAATGGGAGGGTTGAGTGCAAATTACTTACAGGATTGAGCCCACAGGATTCCATTACTTGTGTCTAATTCCCATAAATGTAGATTTGGGGGATAGTCACTGCAGCACAGACCTTGTAAATACCTTCCTGTATTTTAACTAGCTTATCACTGTTGTATTTATTCCACAGGAAGTGCCTTTCATATCAGACACGTTTTTAATACCAATTTCTCTTTTCCTTCATGTTACTGCAGTAAGTATTTACATGGATATAGCTTTACAACATCGCAGCTCAATCCCAGGGGGGAAAAAAATCTAATGTGGGATGGCTATGAAATGGGCAGAACTTTATATTAACATCCCAAGAACCATGCCAATGCAAACAGCTGGCAGCTCCTTGCATGAAACTAGTTTCTAATATCTTGAGAGGAAAATGAACACTTGACACAGACATTTGTGTGGATGCTCTTAATTTTCCAAATACCAGACAGGCTTTTAGATTTTTGGGGCCCAGTCCAGAAATTCTTACTCCTAAAACTAGTTCCATTGAAGTCAATAAGTATACTTGTGCAAGTATAAGGGTCTCAGGATTAGTCCTTATTTTTGTGAAAACAGTTAAGTGATTAAGAGACAATGAATGGGACTATTTTGGTTGGGAAGGCAAAGGGCACAGAAAATATAATAAAGGATGAGTCAGGTGTTCCTTTTTACCCTTCCCCCATAATACAAGTATGAGAGACCACACAATGAAAGTGAAAGGCAAAAAGGCTTTAAAAAGATAAATGGAAATATATATTAATGTAATAGATAATCAATCTGTTTAATTCTCTGCTATAGGATGATACTGAGGCAAATAAATTAATACAATCTAAAAAGGGTTAAAAACACTCATATAAATAAGAACAGCTGTAGGCCAGAGTTACAATGGCAGTAAATAGTTATGCTGGGGAGTAGATGATCACCAACTGCAGGGCAGAAAAAAACCCAACAACTTTCCTTTCCATAGTAAGATACTGATTATTTATGGACATTATGGGGGGCTTTCCTTAAGAACCATCCACCACTGGTCAGACACTGACTAGATGGACCTTCTTCTCTGCTCTGTGAATCCCTACAATAATAACAAAAAGATAAAATTTGATAACTGAAAGAAAAAATGTCTAGCAAGTACAGAAATTACCCAGGAAACTCTGAGCTACTTCTGTTACTTTTCATTCTTCTCTTAAAAATAATTGGCATCCCATTTTTTCCCAAAAAGGTTAACATCTTAAATGTACACTCAAACATAGTGCTGCAAAGTACAGTAATTTGTTTCCAAATAACTTTATAGAAGAAAAGCAAGCATTTTAAAAGGGACACCATTAACTTCAGAATCATGTTTCTGTTGGAAAAATGTGAACATACTATTGTTTTAGCACCTACCGTTACTAAAACTAAAGTTGGCACAAATTAATTGTCTTTATTGTTCCAGTGTTTACACACTTTCTGTATTTGCATGTGTAGTCAGTCTCATTCTTTTGTTGATGGTCAACTGCATTTCCTGTCTCATGCACAAACATGAGGACAAACATATTGGTGCAGGGGAAAGTAGACCCTAAAAACCACTGTTAAAAAGCTACTTATAACAGAAATTCAGGACATACTGTTTAAAAGGTGCTCTTTTAGAATGTTTTCGTAAATTAGTTTAAAAAAATCAAGTTGACAGAATCCCTTAAATCATGTGAAAGAGCCTACCAATGGAATTCTCTCTGGAGCACAGCTTGCATTTCTGCACCATAGTGGCACTCCCTCTGCCTCCCTTAAGAGGAGCGCTGTCCTAAAAAAATTACAAATGGAGCCATCACTTTGTGTCAGTTTTTTTCATGTTTTAATTGAGCAGCCAAAAACCTCTGTAGCGACAAAGTAGTTTTTACAAGGACAATGGCAAACTAACAATGATTTTATATATTGTAAAGGGAAGACAGGTTTCTTTCGGGACAAGGAATATTTATAATTCACAATACTATGGTTATCAAGGAATAATGTACATTATATTCTAAATTTTAAATAATAAATTATGTATAGAATGTGTTCTGACAATACAGACACATTCTATCCATTCCATAGGATATTTATTTAACCTTCAACCAGTGTGATTAGAGCCCTGATACTGCACACTATTGTCCCTACATGCAACAAGTTGCAGGACTGGGGCCTGCAAGGACAGAGAAGAATGGTCTTGTGGTTCAGGATGAGAGTCCGAGGTTCTAATACCAAACGAGACCACAGACTTCCTGTGTTACTTTGGGCAAATCATGTCACCTCTCTGCCTCAGTTTCCCCATCTGTAAAGTGGGGATAACAGTTCTCTATTTGAATTCATTAATGTCATAAGGCAGTCAGATATAGTGATGTGCATGACAGAAATGCTATAAATAACACCAGTACCTTGCATAAATTAATTTATCATCATTATTCCCCTTCCCCCCCTCAGGTTATCTAAACTTCCATAAAAGTTGTTTTATCATTAGCAAAGAGGAAATGTACTACTGGCAAAACCCTATTGTAATACCACTTCAAATCCATTTGCTTGGCTATGGAAACTTACTGGCTTTAATGAGGGGAGGCTTTTCAAGAAAGACTTAAAAGAATAAGCACTGCCACCAACCATTCTTATAGCACATTTCATTAAAGGATCTCAAAATACTTTGCAAACAAAGTCTGACAGCACCTCCGATGTAGATAATTATTCAAAGGCTGCTTTATACAGCATTTAAACTAGCATATTCCCCATTTCCATTAAAGTCAATTCTACATAATACGCACTGCATTTTTTGGTTTCTTTGTTTTTAATGCACACCTTGCAGTTTGACAGCTTACCATTAATTGCAGGTATTGCCATTTTTCAGAAATCTCACCGCAGTTCCCACATTTCATCTGGAAAAGAAAAACATACACTAAAGAATCTTAAAGTTGTTAGTAAGCTGATCAATAAAATAGCTCAAGCCATTCTTAGACTTAAGTTTAACCCTTTTGTAGTTGAAAGGTCGTGGGATAGCTGCACCTAAAGAATGGGGGGCCAGAACCTCAACTGGGGTCCATTTTCATAGCTCCATTAGCTTCATGTGAGCGATGACAATTTACACAAGCTGAGGATCTGTTCCAGGGAATCTTAGGTAGAAAGGAAACAGATTACATGCAGGAGCCAATAAATAAAGCCAGGAATAATACATCCCACCAGTTTGTCAACCAAGCTAGTTTTCCACCAATTATACTTAATTAAAATCATAACCACAAGAAAGAGGGTGATGGCTGTTCTATGGACTGAGGAATAGCTATGATTTTTCTTCATCGTAACAGATGTATGTATGTTTACATTAAAAGATCAAACTGTTACTCAACTTCGAGAAAGTGCTTAAACTTAACAAAACAAACAAACAAAAACAACCTGCACAACTTTCGGATCAAATATATTCTTCTTACTTTTATTTAGATTACAAAATGAACCATGCTTGAAATGTGCCATGATACCACTAACATTGTGCATATAACCAATTGGATACGGGCAAAACTGCATCTTAGATGGCAATGAAATACCACAATGATGATCATAGTACAGAAACCATTCTACAGTGGTTTGCATTGCAGGATCCCATTAGATACCAATAATTTGTGTAATGGAAACCTGCAATACCACTGTAGAATTGAATGCAAAATATCATGCAAAAAAAGCCTGTGATACAAAACCATGCAACTGGAAATCATAGAAATGCAGGTCTGAGAGGTCCCCCTGCTGATGCACATTTACACAAGTCATTCTAAGTTTCATGGGCGGTGGGGAGACTAGAGGACCTCTCGAGGTCCCGTCCAGACCTCTGGTTCTCAGTCTCATAGTTTTATATCATTTTTATTGCATGATATTTTGCACTGGGTTCTAATTAGCACTACAGGCTTGTATTGTAAAAACAGAATTACTGGGGCTTGTGGGGCTTTTAAAGTAGACTGCGTTTCATGTTGCTTTGGCCGGCATTGCAAAGGGGTGGCACACTGCGCGGCACTGCACCCTCCCCTGGCCCGCCATACCTTCAGGTACCAGCGAAAATCTTCCCCCACCGGTCTGAGGTTTGTAATGTTTTCCAGAGTAGCCTTCAGCTGCAGCCCGATCTTCTGTAAAGCAGGGGACGGGGGGTCAGAGTCAGTGATACAGCCAACGCCACCCCCTCCCCAGGCGCTGGCAGCGCCGCGCCCCCCTTACCCACCCCCATGCTGAGGGCCTGGCGCGCAGCGGGTCCGGCTGTAGCTGGAGGCGCAGCCCGGACAGGCTCAGCAGCTGCCCCCCAAGTCCCGCGGCGCAGGCAGCTGGGCGGGTGCCGCCCTGGGGGCGGGAGCGGCGCTACCAGATTCACCGACTCCTAGCTCCCTCGCGCGAGAGGCCGGCCACCAACTCTCGCGGTAGTTGGCGGGTTTGGTTTTTTTAAGCGACTCCTCTCCTTGTGAATTGTTGCCCTTAGACAAAATGGTCACCTCATTCCATGCCTTTTACAAGGACTGAAGCCGGAGCTGCCCTTAGCCAAGATGGCCGCCATCTCTTACTTTGGATGGGACGAAAGCCTCAGTTAAGATGGCCGCAAATTCCCTAAACTCTGTCCCTAATAATGATGGCCGCCATCCTCCATCGTATTTAAGGACCAGGCTGCTCTGGTTTCACAGTAGCAGCCGTGTTAGTCTGTATTTGCAAAAAGAAAAGGAGGACTTGTGGCACCTTAGAGACTAACCAATTTATTTGAGCATGAGCTTTCATGAGTGTTAAGGAAAAGTTAGCACATGTGACTCCATTTTGGTTTGGGGCCCACCATGTCTAAAAGCAAGCACATCGTGCACCAGGAGGAGTGTTCCTTAGACGCTGCATCCCTGTAAAAATCCTCCTCCTTGTCTCCAGCCTGCCTTGACTCCCAGTATCTGGTTTTTGTCAGTCTGTAACTCCCTATCTCCTGGCCTTTGATGTGAGGCCTCCCATCCTGATAATAAAAGTTACTGATGCACGGTTTTAGGACCATGCTGTGTAATTAACATACTGGTTTAGCACGAGGAATGCACCAAGCAGGGATAGGTGTAGATAAGAAAAGGGTTTGTTTATTGGCTACGGTTTCCGATGCACGAGGGCAACATGCTTTGCTAAAAAGTATATAACCTTTGTATAACCTGTATTCGGGGTCCCCTCCTGGTTAGCAGGAGGGCACCACGCTCGAGCGTAATAAACTTTGATGTTTTTTGGGAACTCTGCAGTTGTGGACTTTGTTTATGTGCCTCAGCCTAGATTCGAACAGTGCTTGTCCTACCAGGTGTAATTCGCAGCAGTTGTGTGCGTGTCCTACCAGGTATAATTCGTAACATGAGCTACAGCTGTAGCTCACGAAAGCTCATGCTCAAATAAATTGGTTAGTCTCTAAGGTGCCACAAGTCCTCCAGGCTACTCTCTCCCTCTCCTCGTCCCTGTGGCTCGTAAACTAACCAGGGAAACGTGGGGAGATAGGAGGGAACCTGAAGCGGTTGCAAGGGCATATGTGGTGCCCGTAAGAGAGTAACGAGGGCAGAGCAGATGGTTGGTTCCTTTTTCTCCCACAGGGTGATCGCTGGAAATAATACATTGGAACCTGAACATCATGAACTCAATGTACCTTTTTATGGGATAGTATTCATGCAAATTACTTCCCAAATTGCTTTGTAGAGTTAGTTTCGAAATTAGGGCTAATTCTGGTTTCTGGGTATAGTGTAAATAAAAAGGTGTGCATAGGAGAATTACAGGGGAGAGATTGCTCCACCCACGGGCAATCAATTGGGGCTCTCAACATCTCTCTAGTCATTATTAGCGTCTCCACTCTGGAGACTTGTATGGGCTCATGGATTTGGGAGATCAGGGGAACTGAATAATGGCCTCCATGGTCACATTTCCAAATCCCTTTGCTTCTAAGAGATCTTGTAAATAATTTGAGGGAAAACGGTGTTCTGATTTTGGTTTGAATTCTGGTTTAAACACTGTAATTTCTGGAGTATTTAAAGAATGCACAGAAGTAAGTTTCCAGATTGGCTCCTCTTTCGTGGTAGGATGATGTTAAAGAAAGGGTATGTCTTCAAATAGAACACACTTAACCATAAAGAAATTTCTAAAGATTTGAGGGCTGGTTTTGGGTCCTACAGAGAGCATTAGAATGCTTTAAAAAAAAAAGTTTAAAATACCAGTTCTAATTACTCCATTTGATCAACTAAAACACAGCCACTGCTGGGTCTAGGGATCTCTTTCCTATCAGAAGCTGAAGTAGGACTCTAGCTCTACCTCCTACAAGAAATAGGAAAAAAGCTCTGGTTTCATGGCAGTGTTCTGCTACACTTACCTGTTACCTTTTTTCCTCATAGAATAAAACTTACTTCTGAGAAACAAAGGAAAATACTGTAATAGCAAAGTGGGTTGTTATAGTGTATTTGGTTTCTATTATTTGTATTCTGTTCCCTTGGTGTATTTAGGAGCAACTTTGCCACTGGTTTTCTGAAGTGAAAAGAGGAGAGTCACATACAACACTTGGTCTATAGTAGAATTATATTTTCAGTTCAGTGGAAATTGTACAGCAGCTTAACTGAGGGTGTAATTAGTCATTTGAGTGGAAAACTATTGCTACATTTGACAACTGTTAAATGTTAATATTGACCATGTTGGTCAGTAACAGATTCAATTTTGCAATGGTAGGGGGAAAGTGTTTGTTTTCTGAGTATAACAAAAAAAGAATGAATTATAGTAAAAATAAATTAAATGTTTTTAAGATACCTATATACCCTTTCAGTTGTTGGAGCTGTAAATATTAAAAGTATGTTCTACACAGTATTTAATATAATTTCTTTAAATAGTTATTTTGAAAGAGATGAGTTATCAGAGCCAAAAACAGATTTTTGGAGAAACATTAAATTCTCTACTCATTGTCTTAAATAAATATGGAAAACTTATAAAATATACAAAATATTATGTCTAAAACAAATAGGATGGTTCTTTTAAACACCCTTGTTTACACAGCAGGACATCTTAATGGTTACATCAATTTACATAGGTTTCAGAGTAGCAGCCATGTTAGTCTGTATTCGGAAAAAGGAGTACTTGCGGCACCTTAGAGACTAACAAATTTATTTGAGCATAAGCTTTCGTGAGCTACAGCTCACTTCATCGGATGCATTCAGTGGATTTACATAGTGATCAATGGCTCAATGTCTAGTTGGCAGCTGGTATCAAGCAGAGTGCCCCAGGGGTCAGTTTTGTTCAACATCTTTATTAATGATCTCTATGATGGGATTAATTGCACCATCAGCAAGTTCACAGATGACACTAAGATGGGGGGAGAAGTAGATATGCTGGAGGGTAGGGATAGGGTTCAGAGTGACCTAGACAAATTGGAGGATTGGGCCAAAAGAAATCTGCTGAGGTTCAACAAAGACAAGGAAGGAAGCACTTAGGAAGGAAGAATCCCATGCACTGCTACAGGCTGGGGACTGACTGGCTAAGCAGCAGTTCTGCAGAAAAGGGCCTGGGGATTACAGTGGATGAGAATCTGGATATGAATCAGCAGTGTGCCCTTGTTGCCAAGAAGGCCAATGGCATATTGGGCTGTATTAGCGGGAGCATTGCCAGCAGATCGAGGAAAGTGATTATTCCCCTCTATTTGGCACTGATGAGGCACACCTGGAATATTGTGTCCAGTTTTGGTCCCCCCACTACAGAAGGGATATGGAGAAATTGGAGAGAGTCCAGCAGAGGGCAACGAAAATGATTAGGGGGCTCGGGCACATGACTTACTGCGAGAGGCTGAAGGAACTGGGGTTATGTAGTCTTCAGAAGAAGGAGGGGGGATTTGATAGCAGCTTTCAACTACTTGAAGGTGGGTTCCAAAGAGGATGGAGCTAGGCTGTTCTCAATGGTGGCAGATGACAGAACAAGAAGCAATGGTCTCAGGTTGCAGTGGGGGAGGTCTAGGTTGGATATTAGGAAACACTATTTCATTAGTAGGGTGGTGAAGCTCTGGAATGGGTTACCTAGGGAAATGGTGGAATCTCCATCCTTAGAGGTTTTTAAAGCCTGGCCTCACAAAGCCCAGGCTAGGATGATTTAGTTGGTGTTGGCCCTGCTTTGAGCAGGGGATTGGATTAGATGACCTCCTGAGGTCTCTTCCAACCCTAATATTCTATGATTTCAAACACATTTTTTAAAAGGATAGCTTTTAAATACATGCAGCTGATTTACCACCTGATTGACAGTTTTAAAGATGGTCACATTTTCAACCTAAAATACTTGATGTAACGAGACAAATGTTTATATTCCCCACATGTATGGTCATATTATAATTTGCCTAAAATATACTTTGTTTGCTTGGCAAAGTTACCTCAAACTGGGCTACTGTGTTGCATGTTCACAATTATATCCTTAGCAAATGAATCCTGCAGACTTATGGGGTATATAAGAGTATTTTTAAAATACTTTTAAGATATAAGAATTTGAACAACACAGAAAAGGAAATTGATCCATATTTAAGAAATTGATCATCAATCCTTCACATAAAAAGCAAATAATCTTGTAAAGCTTCCAATTCAGAGGTTTAAGAGCAGGTATCAGGAAAGAGTAGAGTTATAAAGTGTCAGTTTTGATAGCATGTCAATCATTGAGACCGCTAAAACAAAGCCAGCACAGAACCAGTGCTTCGGTTCTTATCTGATCATTAACTGATGCTCAAAGCATCCATTTAAAGACTGGGACACAAATTTATCTTAAGAGGTCTGACAAGAGTTTAATTCCAGGGATCTATAGAACTTAATTTGTTCTGCCCCGGAGTGCTAAATGGATAGAACAGTTAAAATATCGTTTTTTTTCTAAAACTAGATATTGAATTCATCTACAGGAACTCAAAGCCACTCATCTTGGCTGTAATGAAAGTAAACAGTGTTCAAACATATTGTAATGAAAGTAAACAGTGTTCAAAGATTGAGATCTTGATTACATGGACAACTTTTAAATTAAAAAAATACAGGTTTCACCATTTTTATTAAAGACATTCACTTACAGTTTGTAAAAAAAAATCCTAAACATACATAAAAGTTCTATCCAAGAAGAGATAACGAATGAAAGTATCCCACCCCTTGCAATGTTACAATACAAATTCAAAATTATACAATTTAAATTGGCTTAATCTTGAAATGTAATCCAATGAGACTGAAGACTAGACACTTAAGGTCCTGCACCAGATAGTAAAACACTCGTAACCCTTCTGGATCCCTAAAGGACAAAAAACAAACATTAGTTTTCAAGTCTTTTCAAGAGTAATTTCTAAAACTAAATGCATAAAAAAAAAGCCAGTGCTAAGATTGTTCTGTTTCATCAGTGACCGTCTTAAAACATCATGGTTCAATCTGGTACAGCTTTTTACTGTGGTAAATTGATAGTTACACATGCTTAGACTGAAGGACACATATTGTAAGTCTGGCCCACATTCACTACTTTACTTTTAAAAGGTAAAGCCTTTTTGTTCCACATATTAGTTTAATATCGTCACAGACTTTTAGGAACATGTGTTACAGAATCTTTTTAGTTTATCTTAGGGATGAACTACTGTTCCTGTTGAAGTAAATGGGAGTTTTGCCATAGACTTAACGGGGCAAGGATTTCACTGTAAGAGTTTATAATATCTTATTTTTTCAGACTCTTAATACATTTTGGGGGTTTTATGCACAGATAATATTTTATAATTCACGGAGGTAGTCTGCAAAATACTTTGCAGGTCATTTTTCTACACTACAAAAGAATGAGATTCTGCAGTGTAATAATTACCAGAGGATCCTCCAAAAGAGTCAGTTTGATTTGAATGATAATGATCATCATGTATTAATGAGTGCTCCCAATGTAGATTTATAAATTGGTTGTAGTTACAACAGAGATTCCTGATTAATGACACCATTTTGGCAAAACGGGAATTATTCTCTACAAACTACGTACTTGGATTGATTTACGTCAATAAGCGATCCGATTTTTGATGTGGTAAAAGAGATGTGTTCATCACCGATTACAATTTCAAGCTCCTAGAAAATAAATAAAAAAACCAGTCAAATAGCAGAACTGCTTGAAAATTATGCTGGTTGATAGGAACAGTTTAAGCAGTGAGATAAAATGGTTTTACATTTAAAAACAGCAAATCTCATTATATGTGACAAACACCCAGGCACGCGCACTTTCAGAGTAAACTGCTCTACTACTCAGCGTTAAGTTTCACATATTTACTGATCTGTTAAAAATAAGATTCTAGTGGACCTTTCAGTTTACAAATAAAAATGTTAAATATCCAGTTATGCTTATGACAAGCAACCAAATCCAAATTAAAACAATGTTAATAACGCAAGCAGAAAAGCTACTAACCTGCCGACCAACTCTGTCAGGTGGAGGCCATAAGGCATCATCTTCTTTTGTGATTTCACTGTCATCAATTATTCTCTTCAGTTCCTCCATCACACTCTTGTGTACATAGGCCTACAAGCAACATTTAAACATATCTTAATATATACCAAAGAGCTGATGCATACGCACAGAAAAGTACTTAATGTTTGAAAGTTGACATGCTGAAGACATTTTTAAAGTATTTCAGGCCCCTGAATCTCTGAACAAGAACACACGCTTTCAAAATGCAGAAAGCTCTTATGAGGATTTTCAGTAATCAAATGCGTACAACTAATAAGAGGATGAACTATCAGCTTCCATAAGAAGTTAGAGAAACTGTCAAGACAGCTCTCCATATTACAGATATATATGACCATAAGTCCAAATTCTGACAACCCTTATTCAGTTGAGTTACCCTTTCTTGGGCATGAAATCAATGGGAATACATGCATAAATAAGGAGCATTCAGGCATGTAAGGGTTTGCAGAAGCAGGCCATTATTCTGCTCCAAAAATTGGGTGTAGAAAAGTTGTTATGTCTAATCTATTTACGAAAGTTATTCTTCCTTATTCCATCTAGGATGAGCCGAGCATGAATGAAATGCTCTTTTATTAGCCTTCTTGTAGGTTACAGAAAGCATTAACAAAACAGAATTTGTTCCGATGTTATGGATGTTACCATGCTAGAAGTGTTGAATGCACTCAGATAAATAGCTGACACCAAGCATTTAGTTGATCCTGGTCAACTCTTCTAGTCATGAAGAAGTAAAAGGCCCAGTCACTTTTTCTGGAAGGGACCCAGATTAGGAGGATCTAGTCTCAGGGGAGAAGAGAAAAGTGCATGTATGGGAGTAGTGACTTTACGGCATGTTCTCTGCTCCCCATCCCCTGTTTTGACTAGGGTGTACAACTAAGCAAGAAACAATAATGAACAATAACCTTTAAAAAAAAAATTAGACGTGACAACTTTTTTACACTCAAAATAATATTACAATACCATTTATGCCAGATAAAACTAATTCCTAAAGTAAATAAGAACACAGGGAAAAAGGTGGCGTCAGAAAAGGAAACAACAGAAAGGATGATTAAAGCACTGGACTAAGATTCAGGTAACAAGGATTCAATGCATGGCTTTGGCACAAACTGTGTAACCTGACTGAATGACCAAAGTCAACTGGAAACTTCCCTATGACTGCAATGGGCTTTGGATCAGGCCCTTAATTTTTCTCCATATGCAAAGTAGTTATAATCTGTCATAGAAATGGTAAGAGGATGAATTAATTAAATCAATTCCTGTTTGTGAGGTAATTATGTTGGATCATATTAAAGAAGTTCTGTATTAAAATCACAGATGAGTTTGATTCCCCATAATTAGTAATACCCTGGAATTTAAACTAAGAGGTCTCTTGGTTTTTGGTACTGTTTCTCTCCCTCTCTGTGTGAAACTTGCAAGCTGCTAATTGTGTTCGTACATTCTAAGACAGAGTCTGTTCTCAAAGCAATTCTTTGTAACAACAACTACTCACACACAGAGAAACTCAAAGCAATACTCTGTAACAACAGAAACAGCACCCAGAGACTCCCCGCCCTTTTGTTGTATTCATCTCGCTTTGTTAACAATTGTGATTAAAATAGAGATAGAGGATGCATGTGGATGGATGCTTGGTGTGGATAGTAACTGAATGATCAGGGATGTGCCAGCCTAAGAATCCAGTGTCCATCGGCTGAAGAAGGCATTAAGTGGAAATAACCAGAGGACCCCCAGAGGACAGACTGGAATCCACCCAACAGCCTCAAGGATGGGAGAACCAAAGAACAAGATAACATCTGGCAGCACGGAGCCATCAGGAATGTGCCATCTGCTGACTGATTCAGCAACAGCATGATGAAGCAATTCCCACAGACTGGCATAGGAAGAAATTCCTATAAAAATGGACTCTAGAAAGTGAGAACTTAGGGGTCTGATTCTGCAAACCAACTTCCAGGAACATCAGATGAGCATCTGACAAGGCCCTGGCTCCCTCCTCATCTCCAGGCCACCTGGCCAGTGGCTTGGCATGAGCAACTCTAAGGCTGGTAACTATGATAACAACCTTGCAGAACCTGTGTATGTGTGTGTATGAATGAATGTGTAAATAAATATGAAATTGAATGGAATGTTATCGCTATAACTAACTGCTTACTATGATTCTTTCTGTATTCACAATAAATGTGGCATTTTGTCTTTTCCCCTTTAATAAGATCCTGCTGGTTTTTATTTTATTGGTATAACAATTAGATATTATGGTGATGGAGCCATATGGGGTAACTATAGCTAAAAAGCAGTTTAAAAGGAATGCTCACTTTGATTAAGTGTTAAAAGCCAATTATATAAATTCATGAAAACCATTTATTTGGTTCAGATTTATTTGCAGAGCATTCAAAGATATGGTATTTGTGTATTTGAGTAAACATACCTCTTTTCGGATCATTACATCATTTTTGTAATTGCTGTTGTTCGCATATCTCAGTTTTCCTGTTAAAATAAAGATGAATATTAGATTCAAACTACAATAGACAACGTTCTGCGATGGTCTATATTCAAGGATTGTAAAATGTAATAAAAAAAGTGTGTGTTTGTATGGAAAGCCACATAAAGGGAAGAGTTTCAGAGTAGCAGCCGTGTTAGTCTGTATCTGCAAAAGGAAAAGGAGGACTTGTGGCACCTTAGCGACTAACCAATTTATTTGAGCATAAGCTTTCGTGAGCTACAGCTCACTTCATCGGAAATGAGCTGTAGCTCACGAAAGCTTATGCTCAAATAAATTGGTTAGTCTCTAAGGTGCCACATGTCCTCCTTTTCCTTTTATAAAAGGAAGAGTGAGCCACTGTTAGTGTGTGTTAAGTAGGTTGACTCAGCCTTTTATCTTTCCAGTGCTTAAATTGGACAATACCTCTACAAACTGAGGTTCTATTATATAATGGTAAATGTTGTATTTTTGGTACTTGTATGGTAGTGATTTTTTAAGATTGCTAATACTTCCTAATTAAACAGCTATAAAAACAAATCAATTAAATTGTTGCATAAAGATTTCCTCCAATGCCCTTGTCAAAATTTATATTCTGTCCTCCCTGTTGTGGGGACAAGTTGCAGGTCTGGCTGCCATTCCCACATCTTAGAGGGTGCTGTATTTTGATTCTGGATCATCTGAAATCATCCTGCGTATGAAAGCTGCTATATAGATGTAGGCCAGGGTAGTCAATTATTTTATGTCAAGGTCCAAATTTCTTGGTCAAGGTATAGTCAAGGTCCAGACTCCAGATAAAAGAACAAAACAACAACAATTATGATAATAAGCAAATAAAAAGATTTCTGGGTCCGTTGAAAAATGTCTGGCGGTTCAGATTTGGCCCATGGTCTGCCTATTGACTACCCCGATGAAGGTCATCATCATTTGTTCCTGAAGTTTTTCAACAAAGGGACTCAGTTTATTCTAGGGTTCATGTAGGTGGACCCATTCACAAGGTAGCTATTAGCTGAATATTCATCTGTAGAAGTGTTGCAGCTGCACAAGCCTCCCATAGCCTCTTCTCTGCTGAGAGGAAGAGCTGTAACTAACAAAGTTGGCAGTCCTGGCCAGGGAAGGAATGTAGCCAGGTTATCCAGGAAGATGCAGATTCAGGATATCTCCAGGCAGCCTATGCTGGTAGGGTTCCATAAGAACCCCATCTATACTTTACAGCTGTCCTTACCTGGCTAGGTGGAGCTCCCTCAGCTGATTCAGATTGTGTGCAATTTAGAATCTCCTGTGGTAGCAGAGCTCAATGAAAGAAATCAAATACATTGGTGTATTAAATATTTACTAAGAAACTAAATCTGTTCCTAAATCCCTTTTTAGCAGACTATTACTGATGCATAAAGCATTGGAAGGCAGGAGTTGTAAATGTTTAAATAGCTGCAATGGACTTTATTTGTATTTTCTATTATTTCAAAACTACGCAACTGATTAGAGGGCTTACACTACAATTATACTGGGAAATACGGCAATTAACTGCACTAGCAACATTTAATGATCACTTCTGAATTCGCTAGTAACAAGATTTTTTTTGGTAATAGGTTAATATAATTATGACCAACACTTTGACAATATTTAGTCAAAGAAATCAGATTTTACCTATTATTTTAAGGGACAACACTAAGTGAAGATAAATATCACTTTTGAATTTTTAGAACTCTTATTATTTTGTATTATTATAGTACCCCATCATAGCTGGTACCCAAACGTACCAGGTGCAGTTTAGCACCTCCTGGATGTAGTACATACACAGTAACAATCAGTCATCAGCACCGGGGTTGCTGGATGTAGTACATACACAGTAACAATCAGTCATCAGCACCAGGGTTGCTGGATGTAGTACATACACAGTAACAATCAGTCATCAGCACCATAGAGCACTATGGCCCTCCCGCTTTTTATAAGTGGACAGGACTGGCCCATTCACTTTTCACCACAGGTGCACCTCCTCTTCCCCATGATGCCCCATGAGTAGCTGGAGCCCAGCTGGGGAGCCCGGGCAGCGGGGGACGCCACAGACCCTCCACTTGCCTGGGGTGGGAGGGCCAAAAGCAGTCCCCGGCCCATGTCCCTGAGCCTGGGCCCCCCCGCCCAGGGCAGGTGGAGGGTCCACGGCCCACGGCCCCTCACAGCTGCCTGGCCATGCGTCTCTTACCATCCCTGGGCTGGAGCCAGGTTGGGGATAGAGCCACACGTGTAGCTGTGGGGAGTCGTGAACCCTCCACCTCCCCTGGCCAGGGGCACAGACACTCTGGGCTGCTCTCTGCCCTCCCCCCTCCGAGGCAGGTAGAGGGTCCCTGGCTCTTGGCCCACTCCAGCTTCCGGCTTGGCCGGGTCAGAGCCTCAGGCAGAAGGGGCAGGGCCACAGAGGAGGCAGGGGGCCATGGCTCCCCAGCTTTTGGGAAGACTCCACCGGGGCTGCAATCAGTACTTGCAGATTAAAAAACCCCAAGCAGTCAAAGGATGGAGAAAAGGCAGTATTCTCTCTATTTTACTGATGGGGAAGGAAAGCACAGGTAGATTAAGCCACTTGCTCAAGGTCACACAGGAGGATTCTGTGGCAGTGCCAGGAATTGAATCCAGATCTCCCAAATCCCAGTCCAGTGCCGCCTTCTCCTTCCTATATACCCCCTGTTCAGTTCCCCTCCCGTTTGTGTGGGTCTTTCACAAAACAGCAGGGGAAGAGAAAAACCTCTACAAATAAGTGATGGTAGCAGCGAAAGCACAACGATTGCCAGGGGGGCCTGGGGCAGCTTCGTACCTGAGACGACATCCGATGAAGTGAGCTGTACCACACGAAAGCTCATGCTCAAATAAATTGGTTAGTCTCTGAGGTGCCACAAGTCCTCCTGTTCTTTTTGCGAATACAGACTAACACGGCTGCTCCTCTGAAACCATTTCAATTAACGTTTAACCTTGCCTGAGCTGTAAGCTGGGGGCCGCGTAGCAGCCACAACTTGGGACTCGGCGGTCATTGTCCGGGCAGTGCCCGCAGACCCCCGCCTTTCCGGTCCGTGGGCGCACATCTCGCCCTTCTCCTGTCCGTCCCCCGGAAGAGCCCCTCCGCCCCGGCCCCTGCCCCGGCCGAGCCCTGCAGCCATGTGCCACCCCCCACCCCTTCGCCAGGGAGCCAATGCGCTTTGCCCCCCTACCCCCGCGGGCCCCAGGCCCTCACCGTCCGGCCGGAACTCGAACTCCAGGAACTCGTGGCCGAATTTCCCCTTGTGCCCCACGTAATAGCGCAGGTAGAAATCGCTCCCCATGGCCACCGACTCCGCTCCGACCGCCGAGAGACCAGCGTGCACCGCGCGTCCGGCCCGGGAGACCAGACAGCCCCACACCAACGCTGCGCAGGGGCGGGAGCGGAGGGGCAGCTTCCGGGCAGGCGCAGAGTAATGACGCAATGCCGGAGGCTCGGCGGCTTAGTTGCGCGTGCTCAGTAGCAGCTGTTGAAGCTGCTGCCCTCACTCTGCTCTTGCTCCGGTCCGGTTCTGCTGGTGCTCCTTAGCGGGGTCCAAAGGGGCAAATCGGAGGGGGAATGGACTGGCGGGCGGGGGGTGTCAAGCAGCTGGGGCCAGGAGATCGGCTTCAGGGCAAAATCAGGGCTTGGGGTGGGGTTAGGAGCTGGGGTTCAGCCCAGGGGGTGGCGCTGCCAGACTGTGACGGGGCAAAACCCCAGCATGGGGGGTAACAGTTACCCCCGCTGAGATCAGCCACCTGCTGTGTTTGCAAAAATACGGGGGCAGAGGGGCTTTTTTATTTCCCTTCTCACAGGATAGTACATCTCAGCATGGGCTTCCCAAGGCTGGGTTCTTAAAGGCACAGGCATCCCAATGCGTAAATAGGGCATCTCTCTCTGTCTGATATAATGTGGAGGTGCTACAGGACAGTGGCTCTCAACCTTTTCAGGTTATTGTACCCCTTTCAGGAGTCTGATTCGTCTTGTGTACCCCCAAGTTTCACCTCACTTAAAACCTAGTTGCTTATACAATCAGACATAAAAATACAAGGGTTATAGCACACTAATATGGACAAATTGCTGACTTTCTAATTTTTACCATATAATTATAAAATAAATCAATTGGAATATTAATCTTGAATTTACATTTCAGTGTATACTATACAGAGCAGTATAAACAAGTCATTATCTGTATGAAATTTTAGTTTGAGGCCCTGTCAAAATTTGCGACCCCAGCCCAGAGATTGTAACAGGTAAGATGTAGTAAATACTGAAGAAAGTAACAAATTCTGACTATGTACCAAAAAAAATCGTTATGTGTCAATAATTGCGAGCAAAATTTACTAGTAGCAGCTTTTGATGTGACAGCAGAGGCAGCACACAACCTTTATGTCACATTCGCTCATGTCTGGCGCTGATTAGAGCCTGCCCTGTAAGTCACAAGGGAGCAAAGCGAAGACTAGGTTCAATGGTGCAGAAGGGAAGAGAATCTGAATTGGTAGGAAGACAACAAAATGAAAAAAGAAAACAAAAATGATTAGGGGACTGGAACACATGACTTATGAGGAGAAGCTGAGGGAACTGGGATTGTGTAGTCTGCAGAAAAGAAGAATGAGGGGGGATTTGAAGCTGCTTTCAACTACCTGAAAGGGGGTTCCAAAGAGGATGGATCTAGACTGTTCTCAGTGGTAGCAGATGACAGAACAAGGAGTAATGGTCTCAAGTCACAGTGTGGGAGGTTTAGGTTGGATATTAGGAAAAACTTTTTCACTAGGAGGGTGGTGAAACACTGGAATGTGTTACCTAGGGAAGTGGTGGAATCTCCTTCCTCTGAGGTTTTTAATGTCAGGCTTGACAAAGCCCTGGCTGGGATGATTTAGTTGGGGATTAGTATGAAGTCAACACTAACTTCTTCGGAAACCGAGTTGCATCAAAACTATTTGCGTTTTCATTTCCCTTTCTCCAACAGCAAGCGGTGTCACTTCACACTTTAATTAACATTCACGGTATTAATAGGTTGCAGAGTAGCAGCCATATTAGTCTGTATTCGCAAAAAGAAAAGGAGTACTTGTGGCACCTTAGAGACTAACAAATTTATTTAAGCACAAGCTTTGAGCTGTAGCTCATGAAAGCTTATGCTCAAATAAATTTGTTAGTCTCTAAGGTGCCACAAGTACTCCTTTTCTTTTTGTATTAATAGTGGCGCTCCAGCCGCACCTGGTTTCCCTTCATAAAATCATAGAATATCAGGATTGGAAGGGACCTCAGGAGGTCATCTAGTCCAACCCCCTGCTCAAAGCAGGACCAACACTCCAAAGCTATTTCATTCTCTCTTTGCTTTTGTGTGTTGTTTATGAGGAGCAGAGTTATGGGGCTAAATCCGGAGCTGAGAGTGAATTTTCCCTGAGTAAAAACTGAACAGGCGTCTCAGGATTTGATCCACATGTGTTAGGAGTAAAACATCTATTCCTAGAGGAACTAGCTCCTCCCTGAAGAATTGCTCCCTACAGTATGTTATCTAGGGGTTGGTTCAGAATATTCCTAATGAAGATCAAGTGTTTGACACAAGTTCCATTAGTTAGAGTGCAGACAAAAATAAAAGCTATTTTTTTCATTTTGAGCCCAGTTACAGAAATTGTTAAATCCATGACCAGAGCCAGCAGCCTTGTTGTATGTTTGAAAGCTCTCGTGTGTTGCGGTCCAAATACAAGACAGAACAAGGCTTTAAGCAAGCAAGCAGGCTGGTCTGCCGACGGGCTGGTCTGCCAGCTTTCCACCCTCTCTTTTATTCTTTTTCTCCCCCCGCACATTACATTCTCCAACAGATAAAAGGAATACGCTGGCTTTGTATAATCTTCTTATTTACCAATTTCTATCTACCGCATTCCTTGCTCTCAGGCCTTGAGCCCAGTCCTGGGAGGCTTCCCACGGTTCATGTCATCTGGGCGAGATTCCAAGGTTCATGCCCTTGAGAGGAGCCGTGTGTGCACTGCTCCTACACAACACTCCGGGTGTGCCCTGAATGTTGCCAAGTGCATGAACCTTGCATGAATGCTACATCCCCTCCTTTTTTGTTTATTTGTGCTCGGCCATCTCATGGTAGCCATCAATTTGCTTTTGCAAGCCATTAATTCCCGGACAGACAAGGTATAACTCATGGAGCCTGCCAGGGTGGTTCTCGACAAAGCCTTAACAAAAAGGAAATACATTGCACACAGCAACAGCAAAAAATAAGCCCAAGAAGGTAAAGTGTAGTTGGCCGGGCCCCAATTAGCCATGCTAGAGTATTGAGAAGAGAGGTTCGCATAAGCAGTGAGCATCATCTGATTCCCTATTTCCTCAGGGTGACAACATACTGGAATAAGGCACATACCTAACAATTCTTCAGCTGCTACAAAATCAAATAAACAAAAGTGGGTAACATCTGCTATTGAAGCCAATCTTTCCCATAGGTTATATGTCATTCGGGCCCGTAACGGAGGAGGCGCTCCCGAGTCAACCCCTACAGGAAATAGCAGGCACATAAGGCACACAATCAATACAGAATTAGCAGTGATTTGGGCGAGAATGGCCACAAACAGAGTCTCAGGAGTCTCTGGCTGTTGGTTTGCTGCCAGTCTTCGTTGAGCCGCGGCGACCAATGCTTTCACTGCTCCCCATGTCACGGGCTGGCTTGGGACGCTACGTCTCTTCCGTCTCCGTCCTGCCATTGTCGACCCGGGAGGCACCGCGTTCTCCTCCAAGGTCAGCTGAAACTCCGGTATGGGGTTCGACAGCCCCTGGTGCCACGCCATGCTGTTTCGGTGCCGGTCGCACACACCGGGCTGGAACCCACAACGGTCCTGCAGGGAGAGACACAGCAGCATATCCCCGACCCCAAGTAATTAAAGGTACTGGGCCCAACCATTGCGGATCGGGCAGCTGACGGTAATAGACACGCGGTCTTTCCAGTATCTCGGACTTATGAAAATGCCAATCCGCGGGGGTCTGCTGATCTGTATTCAGTGTTAAATTATTTAAAGTAAACAAAAGGACATGCAATTGTTGCTGAATGTCTCCTAAGGTTTGGAGACGCAGCTCCCCTTGTTTTAATTGTTTGTCAAGCAAGGTTTTTTAGCGTGCGATTTGCACGTTCAACAATAGCTTGGCCTGTGGAATTATAAGGGATCCTGTGTTTGAGACGGACGTCCCATTGGGCACAAAAGGTGGAGAGGGCTGTGGAGCAATAGGCTGGGGCATTATCCGTTTTTATCTGGCTCGGGCGACCCATAACAGCAAAACAGGCTAGCAAATGGTGAATAACTTTGGGAGTGGCTTCCCCACGCTGTGGGGTCGCCCAGAGGAATCCCGAATAGGTATCAATGGAAACATGTAAAAACGAATAGGGGCGGAATTGTGGCACGTGAGTGACATCCATTTGCCACACCTGATTCGCTGCGGTAGCTCTGGGGTTAGCGGCATAAGAAAAGGTAGGGGCAGCAACGGCACAGTGGGGGCAGGAACGAACAATAGAACGTGCATGATCAGCAGAAATGTGAAATTGTCGGGCCAAAACAGAGGCAGACTGATGAAAAAAAGAATGGCTTTCAGTGGGGTCAGAAAAGAGGGAATTTACCTGACCACGTAATGCGCGATCAGCGCGCGCATTGCCTTCAGTGAGTAGCCCAGGCAGAGGGGTATGACTGCGAATATGAGCAACAAAATAAGGGAAATTACGAGTGGTGATGAGATACTGTAAGGACAAAAACAGGCGAAGAAGGTCCGCATCGACCTGAGGGGTAATGAGGGCAAGGGGTAAATAATCAATTACCTGATAAACATAATGGGTGTCCACAAATTAAATTAAATTAAAGGGACAATCAGCAAAAAATTGAAAGGCCAAAATAACAGCAGCCAGTTCTGAGCGCTGCACGGAACGCTGAGGCAGCGTAAAACGAGAATGCCAACGAGGGGGGGTCACCTAATTGATAGGTGACAACACCGCGATGTGGAGAGCCATCAGTAAAAAAAGTGATAGCTGAAACAATAGGTCGAGAGCGGCTAAGACGATGTACGATTAGTGGCACCTTTTATGTAATCACCAACCGAGGATCTTTTGGGGGATTATAAGAAATCTCGCCCACATAATTACAAAGAGCAACTTGCCAGGCCAAGGAGGTGTGGTACAAGGAATCAAATTCACTACGTGATAAGGGGAAAACAATGGCAACTAAATCAGTGCCCATGAGTTGTACTGCACGGTGGCGGGCTTTACAAACAAGGTCGGAGAGGGCGTCTAAATAAGGATAAATGTTCCGAGGAGGAGCGGAAGACAAATATATCCACTCTATAATAGAGACGGCTGTGTCTGTACAAGGTACAAACAGAGCCGCAGTAGGCGTATGAGGGGTGGCAAGGAGAACCAACCGCAGGGGACCAACCTCAGTGAGTCTATCCACAAACTGCTGACTCAACACTGAATTGATCTGTCGAATGCAGGCAATGTGCTCCTCAGTAATGGCAATAACTGCGCCTGGTGCCCGAGCTCCACGTAGGAGCTCGAACAACGGCTGCAGCATCGATGTGGGGAGACGGAAGTAGGGTCGAATCCAATTGAAATGACCCAAAATTTGTTGTAATTTAACGAGGGTTAGGGGTTGGGGTAGGACCACTTCCGAGCGAACAGGGGCAGCATAAGTTTGTAAAACTTTATGCCCGAGATATTGGTAGGGATAAGAGCGTTGGATTTTTTCTGGTGCCACTAACAGGCCATTTTGGCCAAGAATCTGAGACAAATATTCAAGCTGTTGTGCCGTAACCTGGGGACCGCTAAGCAAAATATCATCCATATAATGGTAGACCTTTAGTATGGGGTATCGGGCACGAAAAGGGGCGAGGGCCCGATCCACAAAAAGTTGACACAAGGCTGGACTATTTTGCATTCCCTGGGGCAAGACCTTCCACTGATACTTTTGAGAGGGTCGCTGATTATTATATTCTGGCACCGTAAACGCAAATTTTTCACGATCTTGTGGGCAAAGGGGAATTGTGAAAAAACAATCTTTTAAATCTAACACACAAAGCTGATCGGTTTGAGGAATTAAATTCGGGTTTGGCAACCCAAACTGCAAGGGGCCCATGGGTTGGATGCGTTTATTTATTTCCCTTAAATCGTGTAACAGCCTCCATGCACCAGATTTTTTCTTAATAACGAACACCGGGGTGTTCCAAGGACTAGTGGAGCTCTCCAAGCGCTGTGCATGCCAATGTTGTTGCACAAGTGAATGAAGCGCTTTCAGCTTTTCTAGGGGGAGGGGCCACTGGTCAATCCATACGGGCTCTAAGGATTGCCATACCAATGGTAATGCGGAGGGCAAGGTGGGTGGGGGAGGGTTTTGGGCCATTATATATTAATATCGAGGATGGTGTCAGCTTTACAAGTAAGTCACGGCCCCAAATATTGAGGTGGACAGGGAGCACAAAAGGGCGGATTGTAGCAAGGGCACGGCCTCCTGGTTTAGAGACCGTGAACCAAGACAAACTTTGGCACCCGGGTTTGCTACCCCCGATCCCCCACAACTCTTTAGAAGGAACTGTTGGCCAACTGACCGGCCAGTCCTGATCATGAATCACTGTAACGTCAGCTCCAGTGTCCACCAGCCCTGTAAAAGGAAAATTATTTCAAAGAAGTGTTAACTGAGGTTTCGAGGGGCGGAGCGACATTGTTAGAGCAACAAGTTGAGAGGACGTGTCGTGAGGCGGCGACTGAGACAGCATCGATCCAAAGCTGCCTCCGCCCCGGGCTCGATCCTCTGCGGCTGGCACCTGATAGGGGACTAAAATCAATTGTGCAATTGACCGTCCACGCGGGAGCGACTGCAGAAAATGGGTCCACACCTGAACCTTAATAACGTCGGTGTAATCGGCGTCAATGACTCCTGGGATGACAAAAAATCCCTGTTTCCCAGCGTGTGAGTGAGGGAGAACCAGACCCACAAATCTGGCAGGGAGAGGTCCTGTCACCTGTGTAGGTATGGCGCAAACCTCCCCCGGCAACTGAAAATCAGCGTCCTCCTGCATAATCAAATCAAGCCCTGCACTTCCGGCAGTCGCCGCCCTTATGGAGTCTATGGATTTTAAGGCAGAGGAACGGTTGTCTGAGTGGGAAACACCCCCGTTTGGCCCTTGGTTCGGGGGGGACCCGTTGTGTGGTTTCCCGACCCGCTACGACACTGATTAGCCCAGTGATAGCCCTTCCGACACTTGGGGCACTTCTTTGAGGGGTGGGCGGGCGCCGTCGATGAGCGGCACTCCCGCTGAAAGTGACCCTCCTTACCACAGCGATAACAACGCTTCCCCTCCTTCCCGCTTCCAGACCATTTGTTGCACCAGTGAAAGCCCCTGAGCAGACGCGGATGACCCCCCGGGGGGCCCTGGAGCATGGGGCCCCACAGGGGGATGGTGATCACACACCGGCTCCAGAGGGGAAGACAAAGGAGGCGGCAGTAATTGAGGCACTGGGGGCGAAGCAGGGGGAGGGATGGCTGCAGGAGCGGACAGGGGTGGCGAGATCGGCAGCCCCTCTATTGGCGCGGGAGAGGGTCTTTCCGAGGCGACACGCTGTGTCGCATCGCCAGGAAGGGGGATGGCTGCAGGAGCGGACGGGAGTGGCGAGATCACCAGCCTCTCTATTGGCGCGAGGGACGGCCTTTCCGAGGCGACACGCTGTATCGCGTCGCGGCAGAGGTGCCAGGCATGTAAAGCCTGCACGGGCGCCCGAAGCTCTTTGTGCAATGTCTGACCCAACCGCTCCCAGTCCGCTAGCTTACGGGTTCCAGCTTCAGGGTACCACGGGCATTGGGCACTCACCTCCTGTAGCAGGAGAGTGAGTTCTCGAGTGGGGCAATTATGCTGAGCCTTACGCAGCAAATACTGTAGCTCATTGTGGTGTTGCACTTGCAAAGCAGAGAGGGAGCTTCCCATACTTACCACAACGAAAAATACTCACCGGGATCCGCAAAGCGGATGAGTGACGCGTCTGAAACCCTTGCCGGGCGAGGTGAGTGCTGAGGGCCCCACGTTTGGGCGCCAGTTGTTGCGGTCCAAATACAAGACAGAACAAGGCTTTAAGCAAGCAAGCAGGCTGGTCTGCCGATGGGCTGGTCTGCCAGCTTTCCACCCTCTCTTTTATTCTTTCTCTCCCCCTGCGCATTACATTCTCCAACAGATAAAAGGAATACACTGGCTTTGTATAATATTCTTATTTGCCAATTTCTATCTACCGCATTCCTTGCTCTCGGGCCTTGAGCCCAGTCCTGGGAGGCTTCCCACGGTTCATGTCATCTGGGCGAGATTCCAAGGTTCATGCCCTTGAGAGGAGCCGTGTGTGCACTGCTCCTACACAACACTCCGGGTGTGCCCTGAATGTTGCCAAGTGCATGAACCTTGCATGAATGCTACACTCGTGCATATGAAGACTTTTCCACTTGGACACCACTTTACCAATGCATTCCCTTCAATGAGGCTGTAGTTAATTGGATAATGAAATGTTGCTGGCTAGCATTAGGCTGTAAAATAACACTGGCTGTTAGGTTGTAATGTGAAAATGTTTCTATTTGAACTTTCCCTCACTACTTCAGATACTAGGCTCTTGAGAGCCTATCATATGCAGGCATTTGTTAAAATCAAGCACCCTGGAATATCAGGACCACTAAATTCCTATTTCTTTACAGCACCGTGTAATGAAAAATGTTTCCTGTTGGCAAGCACCCATTCTATTCTTGAAAGTGACGCTTTTCCAAGTGCAAGGAAGGATTACTTCTGCTTGGGCAGGAGTTCTGCAAAGTGTTTTCATTTCAGATGTATAAAGGCAAAAATCAGAGGTTGCACACTAGATATCTTCTGCCTGTGAAAATTGCTTGCACTTTACCAAACTCCCCAGTTTAACCGGCATCCTGAATCTTTCTCTGCAAAGCTGCAATGCTTATATCCTCTGCCATTATACTGCTGCCTGACTAGGTAGACATCCTGGAATGCATCCGATGAAGTGAGCTGTAGCTCACGAAAGCTTATGCTAAAATAAATTTGTTAGTCTCTAAGGTGCCACAAGTACTCCTTTTCTTTTTGCGGATACAGGCTAACATGGCTACTACTCTGAAACCTGTCTCCTAGTGAGCAATGTTCCCTCTAATTTTTGACAGGCCATGTGCACAAAAAATTTCTTTGGTGCAAATTGTTGTGCTTCTGTGCAAATTTTTGTGTGCGTGGCGTATCGCCATGTGTGCGGGGTTTAGGATCTGTGTGCGCACAGCTTAGAGGGAACGGTGCTAGTGAGGATTACACTGCCCAGCACTTGCTAACCCCCTGTTGGGTAAACACCTCTGTACTAAGGGAGTGAGCCCCCTAACCTGGGGGCAAGTGGTACCCACATCACACGCAGAGCTGCCGGAGGCCTCCAGCTCTTGCACTCCGGTCAGTTAAGTTTCACTGAATTGACACCTCTGCCCCGTTCCCTGGATTCCCCACATGGAACGCTCCACCCCTCCCAGCATCCAGGACCTTGGGATCTTCCACGCATGCTCACTCGTTCCGCAAACAGTCAACGACAGCTTATTGAACCAGTGGGAGAGAACATTTGGGGGAAAGCCCGCCTCTTCCAATACCGTATATGGAAGAGTCCAGAGGGGGATGTGGGGGTGTGTGTGTCAGTGAATCAGTCCGAACCCTGAAATATGGGCGGGGGAGGCTGAGACCTTAAGCTTCGTCTATATTCTAGCTCCTTCTTCGCTGCTATTTGAGCTCCGGGGGCTTTCGTGAGGCGCGTGCGTTTCTCCCCCCACGATCACCATGGTTTGCCCCCCCCACTCACGCTGTTAAAACTGGCTTGATTTAACCGTCATAGGGCGATAAGGTACGTCACTACATAGCTGTATGTTGATTGGTTGGGTAGGTTCCAACCGTCAGTGTAGGAGTGAACGGCCGTTCCCGGCTGCGCTAGGGCTGGCGGGGCGCGCAGGGTTGGCGCTAGGGAGGCGGGAAAGGAGACCGCGGGACTGCCCTTCCGTAGCCGGCCGTTGTGAGCTGGTAACGGCGCCTGAGCCGACCCTATGTCTGGCAAGGGCAAGCCCTTGTCTAGCTGCAGCTGCCCGGAGCTGGCCGTGGGGCAGCGAGGCGGCCGAGGTGCTACAGCCCGACTGCCCCAGGAGGTGTCTGAGGAGCAAGGAAGGGGCCGCAGGGCTAACCCCAGACTGGGGGACCCTGCCATTGTCAAGTCCCCCAGTGACCCCAAGCAGTACAGGTGAGGGGGAGGGGCTCAGGCACCGCAGGGGAGGGGGGCGTGTTGGGAAGAAGGTGGAGGCACCGTCTCCCCTCCCACCCCCAAGCAGCACGGGGATGGCGCAGAGGGATAGGCGGTTCCCCTGCCTTATAGTAACCCTGGAAGAAGAAACTAAAACACACTTGTTCATCTCGCCCCCGCCCCCCCCATTTCCAGTTGCTTCCATATCAGCAGACGTGAACTCATGAATAATTTAAAAACGTAGCAGGGTCACAGTGATGGTGCTTTAGTTCTCTGTGGCAGTGAAGGTCCTGCCCTCGATTAAGTATGACTGTTTTTATTGGGAGTTGAGAAAGCAAAGCAGTGTTATCTGCCAGGATTTTTCACAGGGAATTTAACCTTTTCAACCCCCTCCTGCCCCTGCCTACTTGCTCCTTCTCCCCCTCAGCCTCTCTTTTCAGTGCTCTGTCTCGTGGTCATGGAGCATCAACCAAATACACTGTTAATGTTAAAAGAAAAGGAGGACTTGTGGCACCTTAGAGACTAACCAATTTATTTGAGGATAAGCTTTTGTGAGCTACAGCTCACTTACTAACATGGCTGCTACTCTGAAACCTGTTAATGTTAAGAAATTTTAACTCTGCTGGATGGTACCTATACAGCCTGTAGAGAAATGCTTGTCTCCGTCAGCCAGGGTTATTGATTTTTCACACTGGGCAAGTTGTTTCTAACTTGAAATTTGAGCCTGGATAATTGGCATAAAATATTTATCAATATCCTTTTTGAATTGTGGGCACCAGATACGGACACTGTGTTCAGCAGTAGTCATGCCAGAGCCAAATATAGGGATTAAAATAACCTCTCTACTCCTACTCAAGATTTCCCTTTTTATGCATAATTCAAAAATATTTTTTGAAGTCCCTGCTAGCAGCTGCAGAATAATGCACTTGTCCATTGACAGAAAAAAAAAAAATCACCAAATTGTTGTGTCTTTACACTATCTAACCAAAGCTAACTTATGGCAAACAAGGCCTGATCTACGCTCCATCTTTAGGTTGGTATACGTTGCCTTTTGTCAACCTGTTTGTGCACATGTCTATACTCAGATTTGTTTCTGGCAGACATAAGAACCTAATTATTGCAATGCAGTTAAACTACGTGCCTGACCAGTGTAGAGAAATGGGTGATCTATTGAGTGTGCATGTAGATGGTGCATGATATGTATTGACCCTAACAGTGCTCCAGCAGCTGTCCCATAATGCCCTGTTTGCTGCAACAATCGCAGCTCTTATAACAACTGTAAATTCCACTGCCCAGGGGTCACAGAGACTGATGGTATTTTTGAAATGCCTTTTCCTGATTGGTTTCAGAGTGGTAGCTGTGTTAGTCTGTATCAGTAAAAACAGTGAGGAGTCCTTGTGCCACAAGGACTACTCGTTGCTTTTCCTGATTGTCTACCTTGGTGAACCTGTCTAGGAACTCTCCCTTGTTATGTGTAACTAGCCAGCTGACCATGTGCAACTAGCCAGGCTCAACACACCAGACATGCTCTTGCCTGGAGTATACAAGAGATACTGGGTCTCCTGGGACTGTAGGGAGAAGAGGCTGTGGAAGCACAGCTATGGACCAGCTGTAGAAACGTGGACATCTATGAGGAGATTGCATGGGGGATGCAGGCAAAGAGATGCAACAGGAAGCAGAAATAGTGCTGCAGGAAAGCGAAGGAACTGCAGCTGGCATGCTACAAGACAAGGGAGGCCAATAATCAATCTAGTGGTGAGCTGCTGATTAGCTTTTACAACAAACTGTGCCATATTTGACAGAGGCCCCACCAGCACTGTGCAAACCACTGTGGATACCTTGGAGGAGTCTGAGATGTGGACCCCTGCCATGAACAGGGAAGAGGAGGAAGGGAGATGTGGGGTGTGGGAAGGGTGTCCAACCATACAAATCAAGACCTGTCTGAGACTCCACCATGGTCTAGTCAGTCCTGGCAACCAAATATGGATGAGCCCAATGAAGAGGAAGGGACCTTGGGTAAGCGTGTACATGCATTTTTCCATATGGTGCTTAAATATAAAGATGTCTCCCGGCCCATCCTCAAGTTAACAAGACACTGGTATAAACTTTTAGTAGTTTTACTCATACATGAAGAGATGGAGGTACAACAAATAGAGAGAGAGGGGTGGTATCTGCTTTTAGTTCCTCCGCTGGATTGGACATGGAGAGGGCCATGTGGAGCAGTTTATATACAGAAGAAGTCCCTTGTATCCTTCTGAGAGATCTCAATGAAACGTTCATGGTGATATTCTGCTATCCTCTCCTGAAGGCTTCTAGGGATGGCTGCCTTATTTCTTCTTCTGCAGAAGACACTTTCCCACACCTCACCATGATGAGTTCAGCTGGCAGCATTGCACTAAGGAGGCTAGTGGCATGTTGGCCTGGGTGGCTTCATGATGCCAGTAACAGCTGTGCTGTCTGTGGCTTTGCTACACTCAGGAGTGAGATATCAGCTAAAACCACCACTGCCTATGGAAAATAATGCCAATATTCAGTGCCATTGCTCTATATGCATAGAATGGAATAGGGACCGAAATTTGATTGTTTCATGCAACCAGAATTCCTCCTCCGCCCCCGGTGGGCCCATACTCACCATGGCTGGGGCTGAAGAGTGGTGCTGTGCAGAGATACTTCAAAGCTGAAATGTCAATAAGCAAGTCTTACTAAGTTTTTTATGGGCATAAGGGAAGCGAGTTTGAAACTTATTCCCTCTCTGTTGTGACTATAAATCCAATGATACATCTGCCTGTTTATCAGCAGCTTTCATTGTGGCGTTGAGGGGTTCCCCTTGCACAGCTGCAGAACATCTGATCCTGAAGAGGAGAAAGAAGAGGATTAGCTCAGCAAGATCTTGCAAGCCATTGCTGCTTCAGACCATGAACAAAGGTCCTGGAAAGCCAGTGTGACAGATGTTATGGAGAATGAAAAAGCAGATGGGGGAAGGCTAGGATTCCCAGCAGGAAGGGGAAAGGGAGATGCACCAAGACATAAAGGAGCTTTTCAGGCAGCAAACTCAAATGCTGCAGATGCTGGTTGCCCTACAGGCCCCAAAATCTCAGACTCCCCGCGCTTTGCAGTCCTTAGAGAGCTCTGTAGAAGCAGTCCTGAGACCCCAAAGCATATCATGTGGCATCATGGGCCACATCCTAATCCCTATGTGGACTGCAAGGAAAACCACTGCTTAACATACAACAACATAGGTCAGTATGTGTATAGCACAAGGGATGACATTTGTATACTGAAATGGACAAATGTTTATTGCCTTTCCAATTCTAAAAATTCAGTTCAAAGTTTGTATTGCAGTGCCTACTGTTTTTTGCACATTGCTTTTCTGCACTGTTTTTGCCACTCAAATTTCTTATTTTTTAAATAATTATTCTTATTAGTTCACAACACATTTCAGAATGCATAGCAATGCTCAAAGCACAGAGTACGTGTAAATGTACAGCACTGCAAAACTCAAGAGGTTCTGGAAAACACCCCCCAGTCATATTTATAAATGTACAGCAAGCACCAGATAATTCATAGCTTTGGTAAAACATAATGTGTGTAAATATGCAGAAAGCACTACACATTTCCTAACAGCACTCATAGCTTCAGGTCCACAGAACATTCCAGTTCAGAGCACTGCTATCACTGACTGTTAAAGTGCTCTTTTAAAGCCTCACTCAACTGCATAGCTCCATGTTGAGCTCTTGTAATGGCTGTTGTCAGAGCAGACTTTGAACAGCCAATCTCCTCTTTCCATCCTTGTGACAGCTTTTTCCCCCTTTGCCTCACAAATATTATTTAGGTCACATGAGGTAACTATAACCATTAGAATATTTTTCTCATTGAGATCCAGTCTAGTGATTTAAACACCACCAGTGTCCCTTCACTCAACCAACAGCATGTTCAACTGTCATTCTGCACTTTCTGACCTGGTAATTGAGTCTTTCCTTGGTGTGGTTGAGGTGGCCAGTATACGGTTTTGTGAGCCCTAGGAGCAAGGGATAAGCTGGATCCACCAGAATCACTACTGGCATTTCAATAGTGCCAGTGGTAATCCACTGTCTGGGAAAGAATGTCTCTGCTTGCAGCTTTCTGATCAGTCTTGTGTTCTTAAAGATGTGGGTGTCATGCTTTCAGTGACTAGCATTCAGTTATGTATGGATAATCTTTTCCTTTCCATCTTCAGCTCAACTTGGAAAAAGTAAAGAACACTTGACCAAATAGCATCACTATTCAGCATTATCTAGCACTATTTGAGATTCCCACCTTAGTTTTGCTAGCTAAAACCCAATTGCTTTCACCAGTTCCTGAGTTAATCGCTGACCTTAATAATGGAAACTTTTTCCTGCTGTGTTTAGTAAACATCGTCAGTGTTGACCTGAAGATGGGAGTAAATAGAACAGTATTATTATATTCCCTTTTACTTATTTGGAGAAGTGTGTAAAGAAATACAAAGATCTAGAAAGGATAAAAACATGGATAGAAATAGCCAAAGAGGCTTAAGATTTCTGTCAAAATATTCTCTTCTGAAATTATACGGAAGCTACGTTGCTACACTTCATATAATTGTGTGCTCACCATGCTTATAACACTTGCAGCTCTATATAATTAAATCTTATGCTTCAGGGCTTCAGCTGGTTGCCTGCAGTGATCAGGCAGGAATTATTTCCCCTGTTGCACAGCTGGCTAGATTGGCTACAACTAGAGCTGGAACACCATTCAGGGTGAACCAGTGGTCTGAGGTGGCACAGAAGATTCTCTTTCTAGATGCCTGGCTGTGTGTCTTGCTCACATGCTTAGGGACACACTTACTATCCTATTTGGAGTTGGGAAGGAATTTTCCCACAGGTCAGATTGGCAGGGACTTTCTTTTTTCCCTGCTCTCCTCAGAAGCAAATGGTTTGGTTTCCTTCTGGGATCATCTGAGTATATCTTACCTAATAAATTCCCTGCCATTACAATATTTTTTT